CATTTAACCAACTGAGCCACCCTGGTGCCCCAAAACTTAAAACATTTTTAAACTGACAAATTTGTACAATGTGAAATTTTACATTTTTCAAGTGAAATCTTTTTTAAAAAATAATTGATTCATAGGATTGGCTGATTATTTGAAATTATAAAACTCTAAATGCTTTGTATATTGTGGAACGTCAAGTTACTTGGCATAATAAACACTTTTTATATCCAGTTTTATCATTGCCGGTGTCAGCGCCTAGATTCTTTATAGGATTTCCTACTTTGTCACGTATTTTGTAACATAAGAGATCTTTGATAACTGTAGTTATCTTTTGTTAAAACCGTCAGGTCGGTGAAACTAATCCAACACACAGTGTGTTGATGGTTATTCTAAGTGCTAATGTTTCTTAGAAGCTCAAATAATTTAATTGTATATGAGAGCAGAATAAGGTTTTTCAACTGTATAATATTTTTATATGGTGATTACTGTGGTATTGAATTTGTACAGTAAAAGGATTTTTATTTCTTTTAAAGATCTTTTTTGATTGAAAGGCTGTATGCTTTTCTAACTTCATTGAGACTTAAGTTATAATTAATGCGGTTGACTACATGTGGAGTTCAAATAATTTGGTTTATTTTTGTATCAGAACTGCTTCCAGAAAGCTTGAGGTTTGCGGGATACATTTAAAAATTGTGTAGCCTCGGGGCGCCTGGGTGGCTCAGTCGTTAAGTGTCTGCCTTCGGCTCAGGTCATGATCCCAGGGTCCTGGGTTCGAGCCCCGCATCGGGCTCCCTGCTCAGCGGGAAGCCTGCTTCTCCCTCTCCTACTCCCCCTGCTTGTGTTCCCTCTCTCTCTGTGTCTCTCTCTGTGAAATAAATAAAATCTTTAAAAATAAATAAATAAATAAATAAAAATTGTGTAGCCTGGAAAGCATGCAATTGTATTTACATTGAAACCTACAAAATGGAGGTTTGTTTTTTTCAATCAGGTGTTGGTATAAGTCAGTACAAACATTTAATTTTACTAGTTCCTGAAACCTGGTGTCAGATTACTTAATGAAATAAGTTTTCAGTTTACTAGTTAATTAACATCATGTTAATTTTGATTTTAGAATCCTGGAACAGCTCATCCTTACGATAGTGGCCACATAGCAATGACCTACACTGGCCTTTCATGCTTAGTTATTCTTGGAGATGACCTAAGCCGAGTCAATAAGGAAGCTTGCTTAGCAGGCTTGAGAGCCCTTCAGCTGGAAGATGGAAGGTACACATCACTCTGGTTTTTTCCCTTTTCTTTTTTGGAAAAATTTTATAGAACTGAAAAATGGGTATAATACTATACTAGAACTTTAGGGTTTAATATTAGGATGGACTTTAATTTACCTTCTGGGTGACAAAAAAGATATTTTGAAGTAAGCATACATTAGTCTGTACTTCTGTTCCTTAAGACATAGTGACTGGGGCAGAAAGGAATGAACATTGACTATTACATTCTAGTGAAGGTAGATTCAGTGATGTTTGTAAAGGATAGAAAAAGAACTTAGTTCAGTAATATTTGGTGGTCTGTATGGTATGTTTAAGGAATCTTCCTAGAGTTTTAAGGTGAAACCTCCCCCCACCCTGCCCCAAATCTAGGAAGTGGCAAAGTGATACCATCTAGAGAAAAAAGTTTGCAAACCAATTCTGCTGTATTGTTACGTTAGTGCTCCATCAGCTGATACCTCTGTTTTCCCTTCAGTGTTTAAAAAACACTGCTCTTGATGAGGAGAAAATTAATTTAGACTTGTAAGATAAATTATCATTAATGGGAAATACTGTAGAACTTAATCTTTACCTCAGCCAGTGTATGTGACTAATATCTCGAAGTTTCCATATAGTCTTTGATTACTGCCACCTTTTCCTTTTTTATAAATAAAGGACTAGATATCAGACTCAGACTGTTACCTCTCTAAAACTAATGGAATAGGTAAAAAAAATTACCACACAATATTGTGTTAGTTAGTGGTTATCTACATATACATTTAGGAGAAATTTCACACGTCAAAACTTGGGTTTGGAAATTTCTTACTGCCCAGTGGGTCCCGGGTGCTTTTCCCCCCATTAATTCTCAAGCTAGCATGCCACAATTGTCCGGGATAGGGAGCAAAGAAACTTCAAGTGGTGCCATCTGGGAAGGATTAACTGGTAGTGTATAAAGCTACCCAGAAATCAGAACTTTGAAATGGAGCAGTGATTTAGAGATCATTTTATATTATTCAAGTTAATAGTCCTGTTCTTTATTGACGAATATAAGTAGTATATGGTTTTTAAATCCATATTTAATCATAGATTTTTCTGCGAGTAAAGACATGAAGTAGGTGTTTCTCACCCCTCCCTCCCCCGCAAAAAAAATAAAAACTAAATTATAGTGCGATGGAATCGTAAATCATAGTGTTATTTCTTTCAGCTTCTGTGCAGTCCCTGAAGGCAGTGAAAATGATATGCGATTTGTATACTGTGCCTCCTGTATTTGCTACATGCTCAACAACTGGTCGGGCATGGATATGAAAAAAGCCATCAATTATATTAGAAGAAGTATGGTGAGTTATGTTGATAAATGACTATTTTAGGTTATTATTGTTGCTATATGGGGACTGCACTATAATGCACGTCTCATCTCTCCTCCACCAAGAATAAGGGCAGTAAGGTTGCTTTTTGGATATGTTGTGTAATCAGAACAGCCATATAGAAATAATTGTGAAGGACAGATTGATTCATTGGCCGTTAAAATTCAAACGTCATTTGATTGTATCTAAGGAAACAAATGTCTTTACTAGAAAGAGATTGGTCAGCCTTAGAAGGAAAAAAAAAATGAAGTAAAATCTCACAGGCACATGTTTGATAGCCTTTGCTAGCAGGGGTTAGTGCGGAGCCCTGGCCAAGCATAATGGAAAATTATGGTTTCTTAGGTGAGACTATTTCTATATTTGGTGTGAGGTGGGAGTTCCGTAAGTCATTTGATTAGCAAGAACCACATACAACAAGATTGACTGGGCTAACAATAGATTTTTGGATCTTTTTGTTAATACTTGTGTGTGCCCCTCCCCACCCTTTTTTAAAGATTTTTTTATTTATTTGACAGAGAGACAGCGAGAGAGGGAACACAAGCAGGGGGAGTGGGAGTTAGGGAGAAGCAGGCTTCCCGCTGAGCAGGGAGCCCGATGTGGGGCTCGATCCCAGGACCGTGGGACCATGACCTGAGCCAAAGGCAGATGCTTAACGACTGAGCCACCCAGGCGCCCCGTGCCCCCCTTTTTTTAATCTAAGGTTTATTTTAAGGCAAGTATCAAATAGAAGTGCTATTCTTTCACAATACAACTTAATCTTTTCATTGGCAGTAGTAAGGAAAGCTTAGTCTCAGCCATAATTATCCTTTGCTCTACTTTTTTGTCTTTTGTATGAAACTGAGACATAGAAATGTTGCTTCCCAGGTTTATTACTTCCCAAATCTGAAGTTTTCTTTTCATAGACTAGACTCTTTTAGGATTAATTCAACTTTTACTCGTCAGTGTTTCAAAATGAAAATTAAGTTCTTAGAGGAGTGAAATTTTTTTTAACTGAATGTGTGAATATGGGTCAGATTTTGTAGAATCGGCACTAGTCCAAACTTCGGAGAGCCCGTGGAACAGAAAGAACAGGCCCTTCAAGGAGCTTCAGAGGGAAAGGAGATTTATATTCAGTAGAAGGATGGGTGACGTGTGTTTTGGCGTAACTGCTACGGCGGCAACGCTGTGTTCTCCTTCGCGTGTTGTATGTGGAAATACAGCGTATTGATTTGCCCTGCTACCAGTGACGGTGACTTTGGAGCGCCGGTTAGGTTAGCATTTCTCTGCTTATCATTATTCAGTATCTTGTGGTGAGGGATTTGGAGACTGTTAAATAACCTGTTCCTCATCAAACTTTTATCCGCTGGTGGTGGTATGCAGTTGAGGATTTTCCAGCTCTGTCATTCCTCCTGTGATTTTTCAGTTGAAATTCTGCTTTTAGAAAAAGCTTTCTCTTTACATCTGTCTGTATCACTTTGAACTCCAGATTCTTGTTTTATCCAGTGGGCTATTACCTGTTACTGTCGTTACTTATTTTGATGGTCAGATTGTCCCGGATTCAGCGAGCCCCACCACGCGGACGCTTGTGCCTTTTTTTGTCTCACCCCCTTCATTCTTTGAGCAGCAGTTGGCTTTCTGGCACAAGATTTTCCAGGTTCATCTTGTACTTTCCGAGCCATAGCCCTGGAATCCGTCATTTTGGCAAGGAGCCCTGGTTCCTACTGGAGGATGGTGTGTAGAAACGAGGATTTGGGCACGATCGCTGTGCTCACTGGCATTGGGATATCATGGCTTCTAGTCCCTCTCTCAGCAGGCCGAGCTAGGAAATGTATGTATGCGTGTGTCTATGCACAGAATCCTTCCCCCCCGCCGCCCCCCACTTATACGCACCCACTCACCTCTATTTCCTTATCTATGTGTGTGATAAAAACCATGAGTCCTATTGATACCTCAAATTTCAGTCCAGCACCACAGTTCTTTTTTATCTTCCTCCTTTCTTTTTGTAACTCCCTTCTCAGACAGTCACCAGCCTGGTTCCCATTATCCAAGATACATTGCTCTTTTTGTTTGAACCTGAAGGTATATAGTCAAAATACCATATTTAAGAAATACTTGAGGGGCTCCTGGCTGGCTCAGTTGGTAGAGCATGCCCCTCTTGATCTTGTGGTCATGGGTTCGAGCCCCACATTGGGTATAGAGATTAATATTAAATCTTTAAAAAAAAGTGCTTGAGTTACTTCTGTTATTCCCCCCCCCTTTAGTATGGTTATGTTATTTAGTTAAAATACAGCTAAGTTTGTTGGTGTTTGGGCTTCATTTTAGGGTTTTCCCCCAATGTTGTTAATTTTTAAAGATTTACTTAATATGTGAAATATTGACTTGGTTCTGAAAGTCAGAACTGTACAAAAAGGGATATTCCAAGATGTGTTACTCCTTACCTCCTGTCCCTTCTGTCTCGCCTCCTTGCTCACTCCCGTAGTTGCCACCTTGTTCCGTTTACACCGTAGGGGACCAATCTCATTAGCATTTGCTTTGTCCTTCCCGTATTTGATGAGCAGATATGTACATTTTTGTTTCTCCTCCTTTCTTCCTCACAAGGTAGCACACCACAGATACTTAGTTTCATAGTACTCCATTGTGTGCATGTACCTAGTTTTTTGAACGGTTCTGAACATGGAACACGTATTTTCCAAAGGCGAACAATGTTGAAATTAATAACCATCTGCATATGCATTTATGTATTTTTGGAGATAGATCTTCAGAGTGAATTCCTAGTAGTGCACTTGCTTGATCAAAAGGTAAATGCATATGTAATTTTACTAGATGTTGCCCATTTTCTCTCCGAAAAGGGCAGACCAGTTTCTCTTCCCACCAGTGTAGGAGAGTGCCTGTTTCCATACCACCTCGCCAAAGCAATGTGTCGTCATCCTCTTTAATTTTTATCAGTCTGGTGGGTGAAGAATGATCTTTCAGTGTGTTTATTTTTAATTTGTATTGCTTTTATTATGAGTGAGCTTGACCACTTTCTTCACTCCAGGACGATAGAGCACCAGGCCACACATGAGCACCGGTAGCCTGCAGTTTGCTAACCCGAGTTCCAGTCCATAATTAGTTTGCTTTCCTGTAGGAACTCCAGTTTTGTGTATGCTCTTCTTTGCTTATCTTTGATTTCAGTCACTTTTTCTCTGACCCTTTTTACTGCTGTGTCTTAGTTTTAGTCTCTTGGCTGTTTTCTGCCTTTCATCAGTGTCCCTTACCGTCTTTTCTTTTGAGGCTGTTATTCCTTGGTCTTATTATTCCTTATTTTCTTCCATTTCTTTCATGAAGTCACCGAATTCTGTTTATTTCTTCCTACTGTTTGTCCTTTCTGTTTTTAACTTTTAGTTTCCTTTTCATACTCTCAGGTGCTTGCTTGATAATCACAGTTGAGTTTGGGCTGCTGTATTACAGTTTTCCTCTGCTTTATGTCCATTTTGGGGAGGCAGGGGCAGATTTTCATACACCGAGATGTTTTCATTCCATTTGCTGTGTTTTCAGAGTTATTTTATATAGATTTGTCTCCTTGTTTAGTCATTTTGCAGATGTTCTTTCTTAGAAAAATTTCTATTTAAGAGTACACTCTTTTCAGTCAACAAAGTGTGATTTCTTTAATGAGTTTTTGTGGGGTTTGATTTTGTTTGTTTGTTTTCATGTTGGGGAAAGTATGTGTTTCATGATTTCCTGGTAGAAGAGAGATTCTCTTGTTTCTCATGTCTCTAAATGTTGGTCCTTTGGTGTCCTTTATGACCTGATCTTCGGCGGGTCCATCTCTTTTCCTGGTTAACTTGATTCATCAAAGTCATTCCCTCTAAGCACTGCACCCTCTGAAGTCCCTTCCCAGTGGTCAGCGCTCTACTGTTCCAGAACTCACGCAGTCCCGGCCCAGAACTCACGCAGTCCCGGCAGCGCTCGCCTGGCATGGTGGGCCGGCCCGTGATAGGGATTGTGACCACATGGGCTGAGTGAGGCCCAGGGATCTGAGTCGTCAGGGGGAGATCACCACTGCTCTGGGGCCTGTGCAGCTTTTTGCCATCACATCACAAACTCTTCGGGAGTCGTAAGTGTGCGTACAGAGAAGTTTTAAGCGGTAAAACCAGTATTTATTTAGTACATTGTAATATTAAAACATTAAAAATATTGAGAGTTAAAGTGTTTTCTTTGTAAAAAAAAAAAAAAGCTATATATATATAAAAGAATGAAGTAGTTTGGACAGTGTTTGCCTTGTTTCCTTACGTAACTTAGGACAGGGAGGGAGCATCGTTTCTGTCTCGGTAAATGATCAGACTCCTTCCTAAGTTCATAGCAGCTTCCAGCACTTTCTCCTTTGTGTTTTCATGATTGTGAAACATCTCCAAGGATTCCTTCATCCTTTGTGTCACAGCCGTGGTCCTCACTCATGCAGGCCCCTGCCTTCACTTAGTTCTTCTGACGGCAGCACCAGCAGCCTTCCCGGGACTAGCCGTTTTTTTCTAATTCTGTGTTTGAGCTCAGTTTCTCTTCTAGTGGTGCCGCTTCTCATTTCTTGATTTGGTGGCCAGTCTGTTCTTTTGGTTCTGCCTTTTCAGAGACTGTCACGTGGGTTTACTACTAAGACAAAGGAAGAGACAACACAACCATACATTTTGCTGTCTGTGCATGAACTGAACAATATGTGCAGTGACCAGTTACTAACAGACTCTGAAAAAGGTGGTGGGACTAGTTACTGATTATGATGCACATCTGTCGTTTATGTAGTGACTTGTGAACTGAGATGCTAGCAGCAAGTTTGTACTCTGTGCAGTTACTCATAGTTAATATACCGTGGTTGCGGAAATTGGAACCATATTGTGTTGTTTAGCTGAAGGATGGTATGTGGAATTTGTGCGTATCAAAACTGCACAAAAGAAGGACTACCTATATTTCGCTCTTAGGGTGGACCTTCTCCCTCCAGCGGTGATTTTAGATCTGTCTCATGCCTACCATTGGCTCCCCCCCCGGCCCCCGATTTTCCACAAACTTGCCTTGCTCTCTGCAAAAGGGTGACAGGAGTGGGAGAGGCAGCTTGCTGGGATTTGAGGTTTCTTTTTCTATAGACAGGTAATTTAAAGCTTACACACGTCTTCCAGCTTTGTTAAGGTTTCGGCTTTATATAGTTGTATTGTTCTGTTTTGATTTTGTGGGATATATGGGGAGATCCACATTTGGGCAGGTGCTGTTACCCTTAGCTACCCACAAGCCTCAAAATAGACTTGTTCCATGTTTATAATATTTTATTAGTACAGCATCTTTACATTTTCCTTAAACTTGTATAGTCTTGCAAGTAGGAAAAGAATAAGGGTTGGGGCTTTTTATTGGGTAGAAATCAAATATATAGATGCCATCTTTGAACAATCTGTCTCAGAATGTGCCTGCTGTATGCATTTAGTGATTTGACTTGATGAATAAGCCAAGACCAGGTATTTGGAAATGCCTACAACTACTCCTTTGTGGGAAAGAGTATTTTGGAGATATGAGGGAGAAACCAAAATGGATCAAGAGACCAAAAATTAGCATAACGAGGACTGACTTATTATCATTTCCCTATTAAACTGAATAATGTTTTTCTTTTTCAGTCCTATGACAATGGGCTGGCACAGGGAGCTGGACTTGAATCTCATGGTAAGACATCTTAAAGTAAATGAACATGTAGTTTATTTTATTCCTTTAATTAACAATGGCATCTGCGACATGGAGAACCCTGGAAGTTTGCCTCAGCCCGTGGTTGTTGTCTTTCCTACTTCTCTCTTTTGACACTTTATGCCACTTTGAATGTCTTCTAGGTCAGTAATAGGTCAGAGAATGTTCAGACTAAGATTTTCATACTTTTCTAGTATTTTCAGGTTACCTATTTGACTGTCAGCTGTATGATAATATCCTGGGGTGATTTCTTAAGATAGCACCAGAAGACAGCAAGTTTTCTTTTTTGGCATAACACTGAAAAGCTAGATGCAGAATATTAAGCATGAATCAATGAACTTGTGAAGAAATGAAAATGTCTTTCTCAATATAATAATCCTTAGTCATTGCCGTAAAACATTTTGCTGCATAGCATATGTTCAGTGTATAAATTAATAGCGTTTCTCCTTTCACCCTTTTCCCCACGTGGAGCAGAATCAGAATAGGGAAGTGATATACTTAGTCTGTCAGCACATCAGTAGCCTGAATTTTTTCAAATTGAGTATTTCCATGTAAGAGTAAGTAAGCGCCATGCTCCTTTTTAATTTTTTTTAATTTCTTCCTTTTTTTTTTTTTTTAGATTTCATTTTTAAGTAATCTCTACAACTAGCATAGGGCTCGACTCCCAATCAAGAGTTGCATGCTCTACTGACTGAGCCAGCCAGGCTCCGCAACAGTGTTCTTTTTTTAAAAAGAAAGAGCCTAGATCAAGGAGGCTCTCTGAGTGAACTCCTGAGGTTTCCTCTTTATTATGGCAGTCTCTTTGTGCTCGCCCTCTGGCAGCATGACAGATCTCAGAAAGAACAGGTCTCAGCCCTGATACCTGCTTGGGACCTGGCCCCTCACTTAATCGCTCTGAGGGTTTCCTCGTTGACCGACAAGAAATAATTGGACCTTCCTTTAATTTTAAAATTGTTGCTAGGATTATAAGAGGTAGGGGGAAGGTGGTTTGTAAACTGTAAAACATGTATAAAAAGATATTTTTAACATCTACTCCTTGACCCTATCTCCTTGTACTTCCCCTGAGACCTTGTCCTGTTGGTCTTCTCCCTCTCACACATCTTCACTCCCTCCTTCAATGTAGATATTTGGAGGGTGCGTATCACGAAGGGCCACGTAGAAGACTGTCTCTGTGTTTCCTCTGAAGCTGTACTATAATCAGGACACCATAATTCCTATGTGTGCCTACATTTGGATGAGATTGGGCTTGGGGCAAGCTGCAGTCGCAGTTCTGTCACTGGTCATCACCACTTGGTGAGGAGGGATATGTACTCGTGGGTGCACAGAGAGGAAATCTGGTGTCTGAGAATTTCCGAGAAGCCAGGGCCTCGTGCTAGGTGTTGGAGAGGGTGTTAACAGGCACTCTGGCTGAGGCGACACATTACCAGTACGGGAGACCTGTGATACAGATGCCGTGGGTCCCAGGAAATTGGGATTGCATTTGCCGGAACATGAAACAGAGGGCTGCTCAAACATGAGTCTCTCTGACAGCTTCTGTCAGGAAAGCATCTTGCTGAGCCACACTTAGTAGTGATTTTAAGTCTGTATGACTTGAATAGGATTACACCCATTGAGATCATCAGTCATGGACTGTGGTTCATGCAAAAAGCTTAGATCTGTCTTCCTTTTCTCTTTGAATTTGTTTGGTGGGCTTGAGACCCAAAGCTCTAGAGAAGGGCGTCCTACTCAGGGTGCCACAGTGGGCTGGTGTCCTGCCAGTGGGCTCCAGGAATGCTTAGATACCAGCTCCCTCCACCTTGGGGGCAGCCAAGCAAAGCTGTGGGTCTGGAGCCCCCGCTCAGGGTGCCACAGAGTGCGCACGCAGGTCAGGCATCCTGTCGTCCGGGTGCTGTGAGGTTAGATAGGCTGAGGAGACTGCTCTGGAGGCCCTTCCTTCCATGCCTTCTCTCCTCTCAGCGCTGCCAGGCGAGACCTCCTCCTCAGAAGTCAGCTTGCAGTTTGGCCGCCCCTGCAAGCTTTTGTCTTCTCCCTTCTTCTTTCTCTGGTTAATCTTTTCAGAGAAGCAGTCCAAATATACTCTTGGCCCTTCTCCACAAGTGGCTTATTCTTCAGCCTTCTGTATAAGCCTCAGCAGCTTCGGGAGTTTCTCTTGTAAAGTCACCAGTGATCGACATTTCAAACCCATTGTCGCCTTCTCACTTCTCGCCCTGTGTTTCCTGAAGCACTGGAAGCTGTTAGCCTCTCCCCTGCTTTCTGGAAGCGTCAGGTTCCTCTTGCCCCGTTTCCTCACGAGTTGTTTCTGGCTCCTTCACTATGCTTGTGTCTTCCTCTTGCCCCCTTACCTGGACCCACCTTTTTCTTGCCTTCGGGTGGTTCCTCCTTCTGAATCTCAGGGCTCTTCTTGTACTTGCTGTTCTGTGTACGGAAAACCCTCCACCCTCACCTCTGGCTTACACTTGGCTCTGTTTCATATCCCTAGGTCTTGGCTCCAGTGATTGCTTTTAATTACCATTTTTGAGATTGCAGATCACCCACACACACTCCATTCCCTATCCCCTTTCCTGCCCTTGGTTTTCTCTGTATTCTGTTTTATCATGTGTGTGTTATCTGTCTGTCCGCACACGGGAACGGAGCTCTTTACCCGTTCTTCCAGTCACTCTTGCGTCCCCCACACCTGGCACATGTGGCGTGTGCTGAGATGAGCGAATGGATGGTTTTATTAGTCCCCCTGTGCTGGTCCTTCGGCGCCGCAGGCTGCGCGTTTGTGGAGCCATCGTGTTTTCATTCCTTCCTCCCACGCTTCAATGTGCTCCTCAGGAATGTGGAGCCGCTACTTCCGGACCTACTGGTTTTTCAGTCCATAGAAGCCAGAAGTCCAGAATTCGGGGCGTTTGATCTCATGTTCTGTTTTGTTTTGTTGTTTTATTTGCACTTACACCAGTGTTCTCCTGTAGGTCGCCTGTTTATAATCCTTGATCTCCAGACTGAAAGGACTGGAATTTATGATGAAGCAGCTGCCCTGTGCCAGCTACCAGTTAGTCTCATTTAATCCTCACACCAGCCCTCTGGGAGTGGGCATCTGTGTGTGACTTGGATTCCGTCAGAGAGCGAGACCACCATGAGTAGTAAAGAACTGGGACTTACCGTAGGAATAAGACTGTGGAGGAATATGGAGAAGGAAGGGCCTGAAGGGCAAGTTGGTGGACTGGGGGCAAGTCACTGACAAGGCGTCCTGCGGCCCCGGCCCAGGTGGACAGCGAGACCTGGCAGGTCAGGTGCATCCAGCGACCAGAGCAGGGCTGTGGTAGAGGAGTCTGGCGGGGGCCGTTGCTCCAGCATCTGACTGTGGGTCTTGGGTCACCAGGGCAAGAAGTAAAGCGGACTTGCATTCCAGGTATGTGGGAGAATAAGGGCAAGGTGCAATCTCCTGGCACCTCTGCCTTTGTCTCTCAGCTCCTTGAACCGCAGCTGGGATAGTGGGTGCTGCTTCTCTCCTTCCAGCGGATCCCACGCAGACTTCACGGGCTGCAGACCATACAGGGAAGCACCTCTGGCCCAGGCAGGTGGACGCGGAACCAAACCACTGCAGTAGCCATTGTCATTTTTCTCAGAGTTGTGACTTCCCCAGTAGGCTCATATATCGTCGGGCATGTAACGTAGCCCACTGGAAACCCTGTGCGTGCTCAGCAGCGCCCCTCATTTTAGTTCTCCGTGTCCGCTTCCAGCCTCGCTTTGTAGACGCGCCCGTGGGCCACCCCTTCCGTGCATCCCGGGCTGCAGAGAACGTGTGCTCCCCCCATGTTCTCACGGGCCTTTTCCCCGAGGGACGGGGCCAACATTCTTCCCTTGCCCAAAATGCTTCCCCTCCCACCTGCTTCTCCTCTTTCCCCTTTTCCTAACCTTCCGAGTTTTGTCAATTTCCTGTGGCTGGTTCCATTCTCTCTCAAACTCTTCATCGTCTCTCATCCCCTGGCCCTAAGCAATGCCTCCCTTTTCTGTATTCCAGCCATACTGGGCTCATACCATCTTCATGGCACCTCCCCATTTGCCTTAGCGTCCCTGCTACGTTGTGAGCCAGTAGGTCTCATTCGTGTCCAACTCCACTTGCCCTCATACCATGCACTTGTCCAGCAAGTATTTGAATAGGCTGTCCCCTCTCCCCCTCGGCATCCCGAAGTGCGGGAGGCTGTGTGTGGGCTGCGCGTCCTCCTGCTGCAGTTCATCGGCTCTTCTCCCACAACTGCTTAGCTGAGAGCCCATTTGTCCTGCAAACCCTTCTAGGCTGTGATCATCAGATGTGAGTATTCCTTTTTATCCTAGTGAGTCTCTTAAGCACTAGCACAGTTGTAGGGTAAAGTGTTCGTGTGTTTGGAAGAATTGGGTTTTCCTGCTCTGCTAGAATTAAAGCTATTTTTTCCTCTCAGGATTCATGATATAAAAGTAATAGTTCACATAAATTAATTTGATTCCATGGTTCTTCAAAAATCTCTCTACTCCTTAATCCAGAAGAGAAATTTTCAACTCTTTGGCCTAATTTCATGTAAGCATTCAGCTTCTTGAATTTTCCTTACTTTACCTTTTCCATGGGGTATTTTAAGTGTGAAATGGTGTACTTTTATTTTTATACCTATTTTTAGCTTCCTACTTCATCTCTAGGTATATGATTGTTAACCTTAAATTATATATTTCAGAGCACATGGACTCCTTCAGATAATTTGGTACATGCAAATAAATAGAAGAGAATGCTTAAAATTGGGCTTTAAAACCTTATGGGAGCAGTTAGCTTACACCTGTTAAAACACTGTTAAAATGTAAGTCAGTCCTAGCATCCAGGACTAGAGGCAGGAACACCTCCTTCACCCTGCCCCCAGGAGCACTGAGGTCGGTTGTTAGAACCAACCTCGGTGGTCCCTTCCATCTGTGGTGTCCATGACTATGGTATTCTGCACCACACCGAAATGATCCATATGACCGAAGCATCTCACTTCAGGTGACA